CATTAAAATGAATTCTAATAGGAACAGATATATGCTTCTGTGACAAATATCATACTCTACTTCTAAAATCATGATTTTTTTTCTGGTACGTATTCCCAAATAGCCTACTTTGAAATGTATGTTTTTTTAAAGTAGTTGTCTCGCGACAGTAAGATCTAAAGTTAAGTCTTTCATTAAACGCGTTCTAACGAATCAACTGTGTCATGTGTTTCTTGCATATTTTTCAATTTGTCTAAATGTGTCTTTCTTATATGATGATCTATATAAGAATGAACAAAAAAAGATACATTGTCATGACAAATATTACAGTTCACCACAAAATCACTTTCTTGTGTCCAATATTTCCATGGCCAACTTCGATATGCATAATTCTTCCGTTGTTGTACAGAATGCAAATTCAAGTGTTTTTTTACAGATTCAAATGTCGACAAAACATTTGCATCACAGATAATACATTGTGAATATAAGTTCGTTCAAATACTTAAAATACATCCATGGCTTTTTCATTAGTTTTCTCTCTTCATATTTCCAAATTGTTCTATGATGTCTTGCAACATGTGCATAGAAGTTTGCAGGCTGTACATAAGAATATTCCTTTTCGCAAAACATGCACTGCGCTTTAAAGTCCGATAGTTTTATATAATACTTCCACAGATTTTTAGTTGTAATATTTAAAGACACTGAATTCGTTCGAAATGATGACACACATTCTGACGTACCAACTGTGTTATGTATTTCTTGCGTATTTTTGAATTTGTCCAAATGTGTCTTTTTTATATGACAACTCATAATATAATAAAGAGAAAGCGTTACATTGTCATGACAAATATTACACTCCACTACAAAATCACTTTCTTGTTTCCAATATTTCAGTGGCCAACTTCGATATGCATAATTCTTCCGTTGTTCTCCAGAATGCAAATTCAAGTGATTTGTTACAGATTTAAATGTCGACAAAACTTTTGCATTACAGATAATACATTGCGAATATAATTTGTTTAAATACTTAAAATACATCCATGGCTCCTTCATTACTTTTCTCTTTTCTTCGTATTTCCAAATTATTTCATGATAGCTTGCTACATGTTTATGGAAGTTTGTCATGTTTATATAACTGTATTTCTTTTCGCAAAACATGCACTGCGCTTTAAAATCCGGCAGTTTCGTATAATATTTCCACACATGCTTGCTAAATGCAGTATTTGGTGACATTGTGTTTGCTTCAAACGACTGCACGCGTGTAACTAAATATGATACAGGAATCTTTCGTCGAAAAGTATAATAGAAGACGTAAGAAAACGTTTTTCATATCAGTGTAAATATTGATACGTCGGCCACATCTAGCTAACGGTTTCCCATTTGAACGTAAATATTGATACGTTGGCTACGTGTAGCTAACAATTATTAAAATAGGCGGTAACATTTTATGCCGAGTTTGTAATATCGTCTTAATAAAACATACATTACAGCATGTTCTTTACACGAATATACGATTTTGAATAAAGTAATGCACAAATAATATATTATCTATATGTAGCAAAAATAAAAATATTTTTCCAAATTATCTATACCAAAGAATTACGCATATTTTTTTGAAATTATTTATATTGTGTCAAATGCAGTTGACATACTAATTGCAAAAATAAATAGATATGTTAAATGATAAATAAATGATATGACTTATTAATAATTATTATAAAAACCATAATAATGTGTGTGTATTTATCCATTTGATTTATTTTCATATATGGCAATGTCGATTTCATTCTTACAAGATGCCTCAGATTATTGGTTTAAGTTTTGTATTACGACGTTCTATATTTATTTGTTCATAACAAGTTTTAATAACAAGTTTGTAATGCTTTTGATTTAAACTTAATATTTTTATAAAAATAAAAAACATTTTAATATTTTATAAATTTAAATATCCTTTTAAAACGCACTTTTTTCGATTTTATTTAAACGATAGTTATTCGTCATTGCACAAATATAATTTCGGCGTTTCCAAATTTAATTTAATTTAATTTAATTCGGTTATTACATAAATATATATATAGAATATAAGAAATAATTAGAAAATAAATAATCGGACCGAATTTCAAATGCGCATTTGTATTAAACCAATAGGGGCATCGTAAAATTGATAAAATATATAAAAAACGTACAAATTTAAATATTTTCTATAAGGGATTGTGAATGTACCTGCTTTTTTGCGAGAATGTCCTGTATAGATAAAATGTCCTACTTCAAATCCCATTAATTTCTTAACGATAGCTTGACCAATATTTCCCAAACCAAAGATGCCAACTGTAGAATCTCGTACATCTTGTCCCAGCAAACACTGTGGCCCGTAATCTGTCTCACTACTTCTAATGAGATTGTTATACATTTGTTAGTACGCTATTCAGTTAATTAATCTCTATTTACATTTAAAACCAGTTAACAGATTAGAAACAGATTATAAATTATACATAAAATATGAATTACTATTCCCGTTTCATGTGACCCTCGCGGATGAATCTTGCTGCAGGTAACATTAAGAGCACGGCCATTTCTGCAACTGCAGCAGACATCACTATCGGTGTGTGACAAATTTTGTTGCCTGTCCTTTTAATTTCCGGGACGTCCAAATGATCGTAACCGGCCGTCATCGTCGACACAACTTTTAAGTTCGGACCTGACAAATGTTGGAAAATTGATTCCGTTATTTATCGCTTATAAAATCTCATATGATATCAATAATTCCTCTTTCTAAATGTTTTACTAAAATTTAGAGATTTTTATTTTGAAAGAATTTAAACACGAGAAATAATAAGTCTGTATATATAAATATTATATAAAATACCAAAAAATGTACAAAATGATAAGAAAAATAAGAAAATGTTTAGCTTTCAAATGTAGAGAAGAAACGAAGTAGTAATTGCTGCTTAGACAAATTGAATTGATTGCACAATTGTCAAATCTGAAAAATTGATAAACATTGATAAAATAAATTTGTCCCCAGCGATATTAAAGATTACGTTACTAATAAAGTGATGATTAGTAAGAATTACAGCACCTTGTACAGGAAAAGCTTGCAATAGTTGTTCTCGAATGCGTACTGCAGCTGGTATAATAAGAACATTGCATCTATATCATAATAACAAATAATGAAAACGATAAATAAAATGTTAAACAATTTTTATAAAAATTGCATTTATACTTATAAATTAACAAAGATTATTTATAAAAACTTACTTTGTCTGAAGCAATTTG